TCATGATTTTTCCTTTCTCATTTCTGATTCTGTCAATGTGTGTAGCTTCTCTTGATAAGTCTGGTTAGGGGTTTATCTATTTTGTTTATTTTCTCAAAAAACCAGCTCTTGGTTTCATTGATTTTTTTCTATTGTTTTATTATTCTCAATTTTACTTATTTCTTCCCCGGTCTTTATTATGTCCCTCCTTCTGCTGACTTTGGGCCTTATTTGTTCTTCTTTTTCCACTTTCAATAACTGTGACTTTAGACTATTCATTTGGGATTGTTCTTCCTTCTTTAAATATGCCTGGATTGCTATATAGTTTCCTCTTAGAACTACCTTCGCTGCATCCCACAGAGGCTGGGGCTTTGTGTTGTTGTTGTCATTTGTTTCCATATATTCCTTGATCTCCATTTTAATTTGGTAATTGATCCATTGATTATTTAGGGGCATGTAAGTAAGCCTCCATGTGTTTGTGAGCCTTTTTGTTTTCTTTGTACAATTTATTTCTAGTATTATGCCTTTGTGGTCTGAGAAGTTAGTTGGTAGAATTTAAATCTTTTTTAATTTACTGAGACTCTTTTTGTGGCCTAGTATGTGGTCTATTCTGGAAAATGTTCAATGTGCTCTTGAGAAGAATGTGTATCCTGCTGCTTTTGGGTGTAGAGTTCTATTGATGTCTTTTATGTCTATCTGTTCTAGAGTGTTGTTCAGTGCCTCTGTGTCCTTACTTATTTTCTTTTTTGTGGGACTGTCCTTTGGAGTGAGTGGTATGTTGAAGTCTCCTAAAATGAATGCATTGCCTTCTATTTCCTTCTTTAATTCTCTTAGTATTTGTTTCACATATGTTGGTGCTCCTGTTTTGGGTGCATATATACTTATAATGGTTACATCCTCTTGTTGGACTGACCCTTTAATCATTATGTAATGTCCTTCTTTATCTCTTGTTATTTTCTTTGTTTTGAAGTCTAGTTTGTCTGATACAAGTACTGCAACAACTGATTTTTTCTCCTTATTGTTTTTCCATCCCTTCACTTTTAGTCTGTATATGTCTTTGGGTTTGTGGTGAGTCTCTTGTAAGCAGCATATAGATGGGTCTTGCTTTTTTATCCATTCTGTTAGTCTGTGTCTTTTGATTGGTACATTCCATCCATTTACATTTAGGGTGATTATTGAAAGATATGTACTTATTGTCATTGCAGGCTTTAGATTTGTGGTTACCAAAGGGTCAAGGGTAGGTTCTTTACTATCTAACAGTCTAACTTAACTCACTTATTAAGCTATTATAAACACAGTCTAATGATTATTTCTCTCCATTCTTATTCTTCCTCCTCCATTCTTTATATGTTAGGTGTTTTATTCTGTACTCTTTTGTGTTTCCTTTGACTGCTTTTGTGAGTAGTTGATTTTATTTTTTGCCTTTAGTTAGTATTTGGTTGGTCTGCTTTCTTTGCTGTGATTTTGTTTTCTCTGTTGACATCTATTTAGCCTTAGGAGTGCTTCCATCTAGAGCAGTCCCTTGAAAATATCCTGTAGAGGTGGTTTGTGGGAGGCAAATTCCCTCAACTTTCGCTTGTCTGAGAATTGTTTAATCCCTCCTTCATATTTAAATGATAATCATGCTGGATACAGTATTCTTGGTTCAAGGCCCTTCTGTTTCATTGCATTAACTATATCATGCCATTCTCTTCTGGCCTGTACGGTTTCTGTTGAGAAGTCTGATGATATCCTAGTGGGTTTTCCTTTGTCAGTGACATTTTTTCTCTCTCTGGCTGCCTTTAATACTCTGTCCTTGTCTTTGATCTTTGCCATTTTAATTATTATATGTCTTGGTGTTGTCCTCCTTGCATCCCTTCTGTTGGGAGTCCTGTGGGCTTCCGTGGTCTAAGAGACTATTTCCTCCCCCAGTTATAGAAGTTTTCTGCAATTATTTATTCAAATGCACTTTCTATCCCTTTTTCTCTCTCTTCTTCTTCTGAAACCCCTATAATGTGAATATTTTTCCATTTGGATTGGTCACACAGTTCTTTTAGTATTCTTTCATTCCTGGAGATCCTTTTATCTCTCTCTGCCTTAGCTTGTCTGTGTTCCTGTTCTCTGATTTCTAGTCCATTAATGGCCTCTTTCACCTCATCCAGTCTGCCCTTAAGTCCTTTCAGAGATTGTTTTATTTCTGTATTCTCCCTCCCTACTTGATCCTTTAGCTCTTGCATATTTCTCTGCAGGTCCATCAGCATGGTTATGACATTTATTTTGAATTCTTTTTCAGGAAGTTTGGTTAAGTCTATCTCCCCAGGCTCCCTCTCAGCAGTTGCCTGTGTTATTCTGGAATGGATCAAATTCTTCTGCCTTTTCATGGCTATAGAGGCAGTCATGGGCAGTTGCCATGTGTGTTAGCTGGGAGAACAGAGTCCCTTCCTGCTTGCTGGTTGCCTTGCAAGTCCTCGGAGCAGCTTCCAGTTTTATTTCCTGTGCCACGGCGGGCAGGGCAGCCCAGAGCCCTGCAGGGAGGGGCAGGCGTGCCAGGTGTGCCCTCCTATGTGAATGGAAACCCTTGACACCTTGTCCTGCTTCCTCTGTGTGTGCTCGGCTGCTGCACACCGGTGCGTCCTCTGGGTCTGGCCCAGGTGGCTGCAGAAGAGGCTCTGGGTGATTGCTCTGAGCGCAGCTGCTCTCAGGCTGCTCCCTTCATATGGCGGGGATGCACCAGAGAGGGAATGGATGCAAGGATGTTTATCGCTGTGAGAGGCTTCATAGCTGTGCTGCCTCCCAGGGGACTGGAGCTCCTGAATTTCCCCAGGATTCCCAGCTGCTGGACTGAGTGTACTGGGACACGTCCATCCAGCTGTAAGGCCCCTGTCCCTTTAAGACTTTCAAAAAGTGCTCGCTTTTCTTTTGTCCCAGGGGTGCTGGCTGCTGGGACCCACTCGAACAGTTTCGCTAATATCCAGCACACCACGCAATGTGTATCTGCGCTCCCATGCAGATGACTAGGGCTGTGTATTTAGCAGTCCTGGGATTCCACTCCCTCCCCGCTCCGACTCCTCTCCTCCCACTGAATGGCTGGGGTGGGGGGATGCTCGGGTCCCACGAGGCCGCAGCTTGTATCTTACCACCTTCGTGAGGCGCTGAGTTCCCACAGTTGTAGATGTAGCCTGGCTGTTGTACTGTATCTTCTGGTCTCTTTTTTAGGAATAATTGTATTTGTTGTATTTTCAAAAATATGTGTAGTTTTGGGAGGAGATTTCCACTGCCCTACTCACACTGCCATCTTGGCTCCTCCCCATCCTCATTTGTTTTTGATCCAAATATCCTGATGTGTGGGTGGGAGCCTTCTACCAAAGAATGTCATCAAAGTTCATGTTTGCCTATTCTACACCATGAGGTGTCTGACCATTTGCCTCTCCCAATATAATGTGAAGCACTTTTCCTACCTGAAAATAAATAATTTCCACCTAAAAAAAAGATGTTTGGAGCATAACAACATAGAAGACACTTTGCTGGGTACTGTGGAGGATATGAAGATGTATAAGTAAGTTTTTGTACTTGATATGAACTTTAAAGGCCTACATTCTTAGATACAGATCTTAGATTAAATTCCTTAAAACAGGGACTGTTGCTTATCTCTATGCTCAGAGCTTAGCGATGTAGTTTAGCTAAATGAATGACTAAATAGAATGGGTGTTCTAATGAACATGTTTCCTGTTCTAGGATATCAGCTCTAAGAAATCATTTTTTAGCCTCTTCAGTTGATCCCAATAGCTTAAGAACAATAAAATGATTGAAGAGGGAGAGAAGGATATATCTTAAAAAAATATTTAGCAAACAAGGTGGACAAATGGAAATCAAGGAAGAAAAGACTGGGAGAAGGGAAAAGAAACTGCAGTGTCTAGAAGGCATTAGGAAAGCAAAATTTCTGCAGAAAGTTTAGGAAGAATTCAGTTTATTCTAAATAAGTAGAATAAAATAGGCCTTTGTGGGGAGAAAAAAAGAATTGAGTGGAAATTGAATTAAAGATTAGGAAGGGGGAAAATGTTTCCTCAGGCTTCTAGCTAGTACCAAGCCTCTCTGGCCAAAACATAGAACCTTCAATAATGTCCCAAAGAACTGTTAAGCATGTATTTGGACAAGGAAGTATGTGAACATCACCTGGCATAGGTGTTCTTCATTACTTGAAGCAGTAATTCTCAAACGCTTTGATCTTGGGACCTCTACACTCTAGCATCATCAAGAGCCCCGAAGAGCTTTTATTTATGTGAATTATATCTAATGGTACTTATCATATTACACCTTAAAACTGAAAAAATTTCGAAATATTTCAAATCAAGACAACACAGTGTACTTACTCTTTGTTTCCACATAGACTCAAAGAAAAGTTTAATATTTCAAGATAAGTATTCGTTTCAAAATAATGAGGTTGCAGATATCCCGAAAGGTGTGAGCAAAGATTATAGAAATACGTGAGCCCTGAGATGAAATTTTATTAATCTCTGTAAAAATGTACATGTTGGTAAACCTACTAGCATACAAGAATATACACATGCAGACATTCTGTTAGCCAAATGATGACACCATTGCATCTCAAATAGCCTCTGGAAATTTCCACTGTATGCTCACGAAAGAATGAAAGTGAAAGAGGCAAATCATGTCTTATTACTACAACAGAAACAGTTTTGACCTTGGGAACCCCTTGAAAGGATCTTAGAGATGTTCCAGATCTGGTGAAGCACAATTTGAGAACCAATGTAATCGATTAATCTTAAAGTCACTTCCCATTTCATATTACTAATAAAGTGGATTTCTCTAATGAATATTTTGTTCTCGTTGCTGGACCACCCTTCGAGAACCCTTGACCTAAGGTATCCACAAGACAGACCCTTAGCCTAGTGGAGCCCAAAGCAAAAAGCCCGGAACACGCGGAGGGCGCTCGGCTTAGCCCTGAGAACTGGAAATGCTCCCTGCAATTCGCAGAGAACGCTGGCTCTAGAAACCAGCGCAGAACCCGCCACGGCGCTCCAGGGCGGGGCCATAACTGGCTGCGGGCGGCCGGGCTCGCCCAGCGCTCTGGGCAGAAGTTTCGGCGGTTGCGAGAACAAAGCGCAGGCTTCCCGCAGACGCCCGCCGGGGGCCCACCCGTCGCAGGTCGGCCGGCCCCCGGGGGGAGGAGCGCAGCCTGGTGTTCCCCAAGCAGCCGCCGCCTCCTCGGCCACAGCTCAGCCCCGCGGCCTCCGGGCGTCTAAGCGGGAGCTCGGCTTCGCGCGTCCCCGCGGTTCATGCAAGGCGCCCTTCTGCGAATCCCAGGCGCTTCCTCAGTCGGAGCGCGGCGTTGCCGAGATTTGGGGGCCGCTGAGACCGAGGGTCTGGCGGCCGCAGGGACTACCCAACGAAGGGGCTCCGGCCCGGGAGGTGCTGGAACATGGGCGCGGAGCTGCAGGTGCGGGGCCCGGCCGCCTAGTCCGTGCTGGAAGTGGGTTACTCGGAGGGGGCCTCCTAGGCGAAATCAGTCTGATTCAGGCGCAAAGCAGACGGTCGCCCGCGGCGACAGGTGCTCGCTCACCGTCGGGAGAGTCCCGGGGCTTGGCATTTGTCCCTAGGCGCTCTTGGGGCCGCTTTCCCAGCGCGGGTCGGTCTGGGGCGACCGAAACTGAGTGGGGCGCAGTCGTTCAGTGGCTTTGAGCACAACAGGTTGGTGAGTGAGCTGCCCAAGAAACTCAAAGTGCTGAGCCAGGCGCTTTTTTGACGTGTTTTTTTTTGTTGTTGTTGTTATTTTTGTTTAGTTTGTTTGACAGTTGCCAGACTATGTTTACATTTCTGGTTCTACTCAGCCAACTGCCCATAGTAACCTTCGCGTTTCCTCATTGCACAAGAAGTCCAACGGAATCTGGGTATGCGGGAAAAGAAGGTAAGCATGGCTTCAACTTCCAAGAAAACCCTCTTGGAAACCCGAGATCTCAAACGAGAAATGTGTAATATTTGAAATTACACGCCACCGTCAATCATAGAAGCACTGAAATATCCTTTGCTTTAACTTGGGGTTTATCTGGTAATGTTGTTTGTTAAGTACAATTTATACAAATTTATTTCTGTGAGTTTTGATAAGTACATAACTAAGACCTGGTTTGTGGTTAATTGAATGGTAAACCTGTTTCAGCTTCTGAAAATCAGTGAGTGCTGTTTTTCTAGATAAGGCTGTATGGTAATTATATGAAGCATATCATTGTTTTTCCTAGAAAGGTAGATGGGGAATCCAAGACTTAGTCTGGACTTACTAGACCCTGGGCAAATTCCTCAACCCCTTTAAGCTTGAATTTCTTCATCCATAAATTGATGGGGGTGAGGAGTCGAATGATCTCTTAAGTCCCTTTTCACTTCAAAGTGTTTGGTTATCTTGATAAAGTCAGATGGTTGTGAGAAGGATAGGTTTGGGGCTTGCCAAACTAGCATTCAATACCTTGTGAGATCCAGGTTATAAACAGACTGGTTCCTGCCCACATTTTAAAAGCCTAACCTAGAAAAACCAGAAAGGAAAAGAAAAAAAATGTCTTTGGCTCTCAGCATCCTTCTCTCTGCCTAGTCATTGTACTCCCTATACAGTGCCAGTACTTTGGATCTACTTTCCCACACATTCCTGTCCCTTGTTCTTTCTTACCAGATTTCCTACTATCAGCTCATTTTCATTTGGGAAGGATCTGTTACACTAATATTCCTGGATGACTTATTAATGATGAACACAGTTAAGTGTGTTAAACCTTCTAGGAGGGTGTGTGTATGTGCATGTGTATTTTAAGATAAGGCAGTATCTTAGCCTAAAGGAATCAAACCTCAATGGCAGAATTCTAGGGACAGGCCAGGGGGGGGGCGGGGGGGGAAGAGGGAGAGATTCTGCAAGGTCCTTCTTGGTACCTCCCAAGTTGCACCATATATAAGGTGTATGGTCATATATAAGGTTGATGGTCCATACTCAGTTGGACCAGATGCTGATCCCCAGAATGCTTATGAGTGTATTCATTCACATGATACAGGCATAAAAGACACTCTCAAGGACATAACGAACTATGAAGGGATTTTAGATATCACACTTGAGTGTGGAAGGCTGGAAATACACGTAGGATATGTACATGCAGCATCATATATTTTAAAAGCAGATACGTTCATCCAGTAACCACTTTACTAACACATACTATGTGCGCCAGGTCCTCTGCTAGGTACTGGTGGTTTAGAAATGAAAGACCATAATCCCCTACCCTGAAGAACCTCTTCAACTGGTGGGGAAGGAAGGGTGTAAAGAGATACTCTCCATAAACTGTCCTACAGAGAGAGCTCAAGGGCAGAGAAAAGAGTGAGTAGCAGTACCTCTGTCTCAGGAGAGCTATGTGGCACAGAAGCTAGTGCTGTCTGCCAATGTGATATATAAATAGGTGGGAGATATGAAAAGTAACTGGGAAAACAAGGGACCTTAAGCTAAATTCATATAAAACCCAAGGGTGGGGTTAAAATGACTTAAAAACATAAGAAGGTGGGGAAAAGGAAAAGAACAAAATATCTGGGTTGGTGTATTCGATATATTAGAATGCACAGCCTCTTGGGATGGGCTAAGATGAGAGAAATAGAGATGGGAAGAGAATCTGGGGAAGCAAATACAGAAGCACAGAGGCCATGCATCCTTCAGCAATGGCCAGAGGAAGTTCTTGCTGGAAGTTCAGAATGCTCCAGAGACAAAGAAGTTTGCTTCTCTCAATTACAAGGAATTCAGGGTTACTTAGAACCCACATACCAATGGACAAGTATTTCTGCAAAGATCGTAAGGGAGGAAGGGAAATGTTTGATAAGGCTCTGAAGGTCTAAGGTCAACCACTGAGTGAATCAGAATTGTCACACTCAAGGAGGTGGCAAACAGCAGCATGTTTAATACAGAGGGGAAGACTTTTTATTGGTATAAATATCATTTCAAGAATGTTTATGACTCTTTTTTGTTTTCCCTTCAAATTGAAAGTAGCTTTATTGAGTTCCACTTGGAGGACAAGGGATATTTCCAACTTAGATAACCTACTTGAATAAAAGACTGAGAATGAGAGATTTGGCACTGCTTTTTTAGCTGATAAAATGTACAGATCTGGGCACATCAGCAAAGTAGCCTTACTGAGGCAGTTACCTAATTCTCCATTCTGAAATTAGATTTGATGTAGTAAGAATAGCTAACTTGGGCAGGCTCTGAATTACTTCATTGCTGGTTTAGTATTTTGAACCCATGCCAATCTGAGAACCACCAACCTTACCTGTGAATTGCTTCAGTGTAGAATTTAGGCTCTAGAGTTCCTTCCTGCTATAGGGAAGTGAGTTCATTCACTCGTTTAGTAAGTAGTTTTTGAGCACCTCTTGTGTATCAGTTACCAACATCACTGCGTTACTTAATGGAACTTTCACTCTAGTGAGGGTTACAAATATGTGTAAGTACGTAAAGAACACCAGATGGTGATAAATACTACAGGGAAAATGGAAATATAGTAGGGAGTGCCAGAGTGGGTGGGTGGGGATGGGAGTTCAAGGTAACACTGAATAAAATCCTAAAGGAGGTGAGAGAGCAAACTAAAAGAAAGTTTTGTTCAGAGAAAACAGAAAATGCAAAAGCAGATGAGAACCAGGTGCATTGGAAGCCAAACTATAGAGCACCAAGGAGACCTCTTAGAGGCCATTGCAAGAATCCCAATGAGTGAGTGATGATGAAGAATTGGAAAAATTTAATTCTGTCTCTATTTGGTGACAGCATAAAATCTCAAGAAGGCATGGGAGAATTAAACACAAATATTTCATCACACTGATCTGCCCTTTGGAATGTTTCTTAAAACAACTATCACTAATGATCCCATTCTAGCTTCCCCCTAGGTTCAAATAGCCCATATATATTATGTATAACATAGAAATGAATATGCTAGAATGGTTCTGGCCAATAGAAATAGAATGTGCACTACAGAAATAATTTAAAATTTTCTAAACTTTTAAAAAGTTTAAAAAATAGGTGAAATCAATTTAAGTGATGTGTTTAATTTAACCAATATATCCAAAATCTCATTTCCAAATATAAGCAATATAAAAACATGGAGATATTTCAGTTTTTTTTTAAACTAAGTCTCTGAATTTCCTTGTGTATTTTACACATACAACACAATTGAGACTAGCCACATTTCCAATACTCAGTAGCTATATATGGCTAGTGGCTACTGTATTGTACAAAACAGCTCTGTAATATTTAGACCTGTTTGGAAAGATGATTGGTTAATAGAAAAAATACCCTGCATGTTACAACTTTTCTTAAGGGGCTATGAATAAATGGTTACCCTGAGATTACTCACAAATCAGTATTAGTCTTCTTCCAGACCATGATCTCTTATCAGTCCTGAGCTGTCTTCCAGTTACCAGTTACCCACTTCACTATATTCTTCCTTTAATAATGGTTAGAAGTGAGAAATACCAGCACTTTAACATTCTAAGCATTCAGAGAGTGCCTGAATTCCAGTTCAGTAATGTGATCTGGGGCAAGGTCACTTAAGCTTTGTTTGTGTGATACTAGAACGAGTCTAGAACGAGTCCAGAGTTTGTGAGCTTTGAAAATACTGCCATGATGGGGTATTTTGGTTTTGTGTCAGCCTGTGCTTAATGCTTCATGTTTCCATTTACCTTCCCCACAAATGAAGAGGGAGTCCCATAAAGGAGGGCCCATAGTAGGGGATGGGTAAAGGAGAAACATAGCGGATGACTGGAAGGAGGGGAGCTACTCCTTTAAGAAGGGCTGAATATCTTTTACTTAGTCTTACAATTATCCTATGATTTTATTATCTTAGATGTTTAAAATTTGATAAGCTTTAGTATAAACTTGATATAACAATTTTAATATGAATGTATGGATTTATAATTTTAAAACATAAAGAGATCTTCGTGATTCTTAGTTCATTTCCCAATTTTATAAATGAGGAAATGGCAGCCCAGAGATATGTGACTTATCTCAGGATGCAACTAATGGATAAGCCAGATCAAAACCAAGAATGTGCCTTCTAACTTAGTTGAATACTCTATTACACCAGACTTAATTATTCTCAGTCAAGATGATAGGGGACCAACCTTTTAGAAATAGAATAGTATGGCCTGTCATTTATGTCATTTACTGGCAAAATAATTGTCTGGAGGGACGTTTAAGTAACTTTCATTTTTGCTGATAATTTTGAACACATTGACACAAGTATCTGGAGTTATATTTATATTTCATATTTAGCAGAGATTATTTTTCCTGAAGGTATCTCTCTTTTTGTCAGATTTTAAAACCATACAAGAAACTTTGGTATAATTTAACATATCAGGGGAACTATTCATGTTTTACAATTAAGACAGGAACTTTCTGCCTTATTTTCATCAACAGTTGAGGTCTTTCTCTTTCTTTATTAGTCTTTACATCAAAAGAAGAAGCAAACTTTTTCATACATAGACGCCTCCTATATAATAGATTTGATTTGGAGTTCTTCACTCCTGGGGACCTAGAAAGAGAGTGCAAAGAAGAACTGTGTAATTATGAAGAAGCCAGAGAGATATTTGTGGATGAAGATAAAACGGTAATTTGGTTGATGATGTTATTTGGCTGGAAATTTATTAAATTGTACTTAAGAAAATGGCACTTTTAGTCAGTAGAAATTTTATACTTTAAATAAAATCAAGATTGTATGTCTGTTATCTCTCTCTACTTCCATAAAATACTAATTAACCTATTTAGACTTGGCTTCATACTTTTGGGCTTACAGTAATTAGCAAATTATCAATTATGTTGTGATTTTGTATGTTTAATATTTATTATGTTTAAAACAGTCGTGAAGCAGAGTGAATTAAACCTTAGTATATTATTTGAATTCATTCTACGATTCAGGTCAATCATTCAAGACTCAGAGCAATTTTTCTACCAGTGCCCTTACCCTGTTTGATTACCGTATTTATATTATAAGTATTTATTAACAATCTGCTAGCTGTTAAGTGCACTGCCAGAGCCTAAGGATACAAAATAATCCGGTTCCTGCATCCAGAAATTTATTGTTTGGTATATCTGGTAGCTTAAAGGAGAAACTTTTAGATGTTAAAAATATAATTAAATTCTATCCTGTTTGTTAATCTTGGAAAGATTCAAAACAGGCAGACAGTACTGTCACTGTTATAATCTGGCATATTATTGAAGAATGTTAAGTAACAAAAATTCTGTACTTTTGTAGATTAAATAACCCAAGCTCCTTTTCCTCTCCCTCAAGACTCCTATTTTATTGACTAACAACAAGGTATTGTACATATCCTTCAAATGCAGGTGTTAATGGAATTCAGTTCTTTTTTCTTCCAAAATTGTGCCCAGCCTCTCACTCCCTACTAAGATCTGCTTCATCTATTAGAGAAGGAAAATGAAGTCTATACTTTATAGTTGCGCCTGTTGAGATTTTACTGTTTTTCGTAAACCCATCTTCTAATTTTATCACAGTTCTGTAAAATCCACTTCCATTTTCTCAAGTAACACTGAGCTTAAACAGTCTTAGGGACATCTTTCCAAATCAAAAAATACCTTTGACTAAGACCCCCTAGCAAATTGAGGACCCACATAGTGTAGAAAAATTCAGACTCCTTTTCAAACATGATACAGAGTCCACTGCCTCAATTCAAGTACCTTTGGTACTTTCACCAACTCTTTAAGGCAACAGTTTCCCCTGGCGCCTGAGGAGGGGCTCAGAGCAGGGAAAAGGAAAATAGCAGAGTATAGTCATAGAGAGCTGGCACTGGTAGCAGTCCCCTTACCAATTTCAGAGTTGGGAGAGACAGTGGTGGGTGGTAATGTTTTCATTAGAGTGAGTCATGCCCTCCTTGAATGAACTGCTGTCTTACCTGTGGCACATGCCATGAATTTTTTTATTAAGGTATTATTGATAATACGCTTTTATGAATGTTTTACATGACAAACAATGTGGTTACTACATTCACCCATATTACCAAGTCCCTACCCATACCCCATTGCAGTCACTGTCCATCAGTGTAGTAAGATACCACAGATTTGCTATTTGCCTTCTCTGTGCTACACTGTCTTCCCTGTGACCCCCCCACACCATGTGTACTAGACATAATACACCTCAATTCCCTTCACCCTCCTACACCACTCCCCTTTGGTAACCCCTAGTCCCTTCTTGGAGTCTGAGAGTCTGCTGCTGTTTTGTTCCTTCAGTTTTGGCACATGCCATGAATTTACCACCCCTAGTCTAGCTCACTGGGACCAAGTGAAATGATAATAAATTAAACTTGGAAAATTTGCCTTTCTCTTAGATGACATTTTGGCAGGAATATTCGATTAAAGGACCAACCACAGAATCAGGTAAGACAAGAATTGATCAAATTTAATGTTTCTCCTACCTTTAGTCTATTATAATTCATTTTAGTTTCATTCTTTGAGGTTAGTTGTTGCTCAACCACATAACTTGTAAATCCAAGGAAGTTTTCTCAATTACACACTGGGCTTTCTACGCCACAGCCACATTCATCTTTACATACTGAAAATCAAGTTTGGTGAGATACTAGGGAAATGAGATAATATGTTTAAAGTTGTTTTAAACAGCTCATCTAAGTGAAGACTTGCACAGGATAAAAATAGGACTCCATTAGTTTGAAGTAGTAAAGTATTTTAACTTTTTTCCCACCACTACAAGGAAATGAAATACTTGTGCTAGTACATAAATATTGTTAGAATTTAGCATCTTCTAGGGAAGGGAGATCCCTTATTTTATCTGTACTAATCATCTTTAGCTGCTTTTTTTAGTCAGGTGTTTTTTTCTGCTAGCTCTTCTTTCTTTCCCCTTCTGTAGGACCCCAGCTAGAGAGAGAGTATATTAACATGGCTTCCTTCCCTAGAGTTGCTGAATACATTTACCTTAATTGTTAATACCAAAATGTGTCTAGTTGAACAAAAAATATCTTTATTCCTCTTAGTCTTGAATATTATCCTTAATATGACCTATTTAAAAGAAGTGAAACCATAGCTAGGGCTTTTAGGAAGTGTCATTTAAAATTGTTCAAGGTCATATGTCTAGCACAAGACTTTTAAAATACATCAATATTAAAGAGGGTAAATCTACTTGAAACCAATATAATATTGTATATCAACTATACTTCAATAAAAAAGAGGATTAAATAAATAAGTACAATACAATAAATCTATTATTAAATGCTTAATAGTATGCTTAGATACAGTGTTAAATTTATTGCAATATTAGAGGGTGCTTTTCAGATGTGTTTTTTTTATTAAGGTGTTACTGATACACACTCTTATGATGGTTTCACATGAAAAAACAATGTGGTTTCTACATTCACCCATGTTACAGTGTCCCTCCCATACCCCATTGCAGTAACTGCCCAATACCCATGTTATATTTATGTTATTTTAATGGTTTCTCTTAAGATGCCAACAGAGAGAAAATCGATGTTATGGGCCTTCTGACTGGATTAATTGCTGCTGGAGTATTTTTGGTTATTTTTGGATTAGTTGGTTACTATCTTTGTATCACTAAGTGTAACAGACAAAGACATCCAGGGTAAGTACCAAGAGTAGTATTTAATTCATTATTCTACCTTAATGAATAATAGAATATGAATTTTAATTTTAATTTATAGAATATGAATTTTTTTAAATGGCTGCCCTTTTTTTTGGTATCAATCTATAATTACATGAGGAACATTATGTTTACTAGACTCCCCCCATCATCAAGTCCCCCCCACATACCCCATTACAGTTACTGTCCCTCAGCGTAGTAAGATGCTATAGAATCACTACTTGTCTTCTCTGAGTTGTACAGCCCTCCCCGTGCCCCCCCAC